CTAGATCCAAACAAACAGTTTGGCATGTTGTTATCAGTACTGTATAGGTACATCAGTAGCAGATGTTTCCTGTCTCTAGGTCTGTCCATTCTGATAGACTTCTACCAGCAGTAGCTTCTATAAGAAACACTTCTCACAAGAAATTATTAATCTTTCCATACTTGAGTCAAAGGCCAATGTGTAGACTTTATTAGCTATTCAATGGATGAGTACATTAAGCATAACCATGGTTTTGTAATGGAATGACACATTTAAATTTTTCTTTGAAAATTTTTTTATTTACTTTTTCCATAACATTTTCATGTGTACGTGCTAAAGCACATTGATTTAAGGAAGACACCCTCCCTAGAGTTTGGGATGATGATTATCTTCGCTTACCTTCCTTATGGACTTGCAGAAGGTATCTCACTCTCAGGTGAGCAGCAAAATGAGTATGTGCCTTTTTTTTTGATAAATTTAGGGAGTAGGTATTATTTGTGTCTAAGAGGGCCCCTGGTTTTTTTAGTGTTTTCTCATTTAGCCTATGCTTTTGCTTTTAACTTTGACTTAAAGAAACACTTCTTATCTGCTTCATGTTACAAAAGTATAGAAAAGGTAACTGCAGTTTTCATAAGCATTACATTAGCCAGTGTAAATACTAGTATTCTCCCCAGTTATCTCTTCCTAACACAGAATTAAAATTTCAGCTGCACACTGTAGATCTCAGTCATGTCAGTTAACTTAGATAATGTCCACCCTACTACCCTGTAGCCGTTTTTCTGCGTGTCCTTCCGTGCCATTGGGGAAATCAGCTGAGTGTTGTATATATCTCTGAATACTTGGTAGAAGTTTTGCAGAAGGCCACAAGAAGAGGCTTACCAGTGAACTTCTTCCATCATTCTGTAGAATCAAGTACAAAGAGAGGGTCCAGTCCTGCTGGATGCCCAATGTCTCTGACCTTTGCCAATTTAAGTGGTCTTTTTAAGGCAATCAGCTTCCCGTCTCATTTCTCAAAGGAAAGTGGGAAGGAATGCAGCAGTTAGTATAATTCAAATAGCTAGGGGATCTGCTTGGTTCTTTTTTCTTGGGTTGTTTTTTCTTTAAGTGCATTAAAAGATGTATTTGCTCTACAACTTGGACTGTGTAAGAACGTTACAAGTTTGTGAGGAGTAGTAGCAGGACTAGAATTCTTGTAAATGAGCTGCAGGTATGAAATCAGACTTTCTGAAAATGTACATGTGAGCTAATGGGAACATTTTGGAATGGATCTGTAGCAGTGTATATCAGTATACCTTCACTGGTATTAGTGGAGTTGTATTTTTTTATATGTATGAAGATGTGGCCTGTAATGGTAGTTACACAATCAAGATGTAGAATCCTAATGCAAACATTCCATTCTGCCCACTTGCATCCAGAACTACTCTGGATGTGTGTATAGGCCAACACATATGTAGCGGAATGAAATTACATGAAACCTGAGCAAGCAGTTTGATATGTTAAAATATTTATATTGCTGTAAAAACAAGTTTTGCTTTGTGAGAAGATTATTCTGGAGGGTCTCAGCATGTGACCTTTTCTATTTCTAATTTATATTGCTTATTAATATAAAATTATAATAAAATATTACAGAATTACAGTGCCATTGCATTATATAACCAACACATGTTGGTATACAATGAAAAAGAATTTACAGTAAGATTCCTAGTTAGTTACTCTCAGGATGATAGAGGTTCTTCGTCATTTTATTTGTGAAGACAACCTCTCTAATTTGCTCAAGTGCCTTCAAGAATGACTTCTCAGGAAATAATAAACTTTGAATGACCTTAGTCAGGTCACCTCTGTGTTTCAAACAAAGGATTCTTTTGACTGTACCTCAGCTGTTCTAATCCTCGCAGTTGTGTTCATCTGGGCCACTCCTGGGCACGTAGCTCCAGCCAAATACTTCTCGTCTTTTAAACTTCCCTTGTTTTGGGCAGAGCAGGCATGCTCGCACATGACATCCTGTCCTCTTGAGCTCTGCATCGCAACTGAATTCTTTTGGGTTATATTGTCAGTTTTGGTCAGTTATTTCCTCACAAGGTGTACTGTAGTTGTTCAAGTGGACTGCTAAATTTTTCCACAATCCTAACCATCATCTCAAATTACATGCTTTGCAGGTGTAAGTCTATGCAGCAGCCATGGAAATGCTTAAAACTTCCCTTTAAGATGCCCAGCTCCCTGTGAACAGGGAACAACTGACAGCATCTGTGATATGTCTTGAGCAGTTAGCGAAATAGGTTGAAATTCAGATTCTTCCCATAAATAACCAAGAGCTGGGAAGCAAAGTAGATGGAAAAAATCCCTAACACAAAGCAAAGATTTGTGAAATACAGTGAAATCTGAGGTAGCTGTTGTGCCCTGTGATACCATTGCTGTAACGCTGTCCAAGCTGTGCGTGTCATTAGGGCAACTGAATTCTGTAATGGAAAATTTGGTGGCTTTTGCCATAGTTGATAGCTGAGATTAATCTTTGTAGTAACTTACAGCAGATGGTTTAGTGACCCTTTCTCTGGAGGCAAGGGACATTCTGCACAGTAGCGTTCCTTGCAGGCCCTACATATCAGGCGGTACCTTACGGTTGGACTTGATGATCTTAAAGGTCTTTTCCAACCTAAATGATTCTATGATTCCTACAAAAGTAATTTTTGCCCTGAATTCTCAAGTCTCAATAGCTTTTCTTATTCTCAGATTGATAGAAAATTGGGGGTACACCTGTGCGTGCTATTCGTTCTTAATTTTTTATGGTATTAGATGTGGTGCACCATACTGGAGTGGATTCGCACCCATGCCCTGTTGGTCTCATTCTACTTCTGGTGGAGTGACTGGGCCTGGCTGATCAGCAGGTAGGAGAGAATGACACACTTCCTGGAAGAACTGAATTGTACAGTTCTCTAGCCCGGCTATTCTCAAATTGTTTGTATTCTTCTTTTGATGTCATCTCTCTACCTGTTAGAGAGTTAAAAGCAGGAAAGACACTCAAAAATTGGCTTTTTATTTCCCTCACTTTTATGGGAAAACGTCACATAACAGGGATTAATTCTAGCTTGCAAGTGACCTATACTGGACCTCCTAGTATTTAATATGACCAGTGGAATGAGACCAGTATGAATAACAATGGTAGTAAAAACCTCACTTAGTGCTTCATAAGCTTTTGCGTTAGTAAGGGCTATAAACAGAAGTATTTGCAGAGTGCAAACTATTCTTCTTCTGTTGACTGCCACATTTTTATCTACAGGTATCATGGCAATCCTCTTCTCTGGCATCGTGATGTCTCACTATACACACCATAACTTGTCCCCGGTCACACAGATTTTAATGCAGCAGACACTGAGAACTGTTGCTTTCATGTGTGGTAGGTGCTGCCTACAATTAATATCTAATATTAATAGTTTAAAATTTTATGTGCCTGAAATGGTGATGCTGATGGGAGCAGCAGAGGTGTGAATTCTCTTCTAGCCATTTATATGTCAGGGGTACCTGTCTTTAAGAGAAGAATTCCTCATAGTGGAGGCTGGGAGGCAGTCAAAGTCACCTTTCCTGTCATACTGGATAAAACATACAGTAAATCTCTCTCTCCCATCCTGCAGGCTCCTGCTAAGATTTGCCACAAGATTGATAACTGAATAGAGATCTCTGATTCCTATATTCCTCTGGAATATTTTTAGTTTTAGGAGATGGATTTTTAGCAGTATTTTTTAAAATGGTTTTGGATGTAAAAAGCTACTTGCAAAAACAATAGCTTCACAACTTGAGAAGTTTTTGGAAGTAGTGATACAAGCAGCTCAGAGTCCCGTAGGCTTTCCGTTTCCTTTTACAAGCCAAACTTTCAAAGAAATTACGTGCTTCCGTATTACAAATACATCCCATTTTAGGGGATGGCATGAATGTGTTCCTATTGTTTGCATATTTGAACACGGCCAGGGAGTGGCCTTGCTGGAAACTAAACTTAACCACTCATTACCTGAGCACCAGCAGCTCATCAGGATCTGCTCTTAGTCTGTTAAAAATTCTAAAGCAGCATGTATTAATTCAAGTCACTGTAAAGGAGTTATTTAAGATACTGTGCAATTTCGTACACGTTTGCAGCAGGTTTTGAACATGCAAATATATGTAGCCAGTACCCAAAGCATGACCAAACAATGTCTTATGCTGCCGTAACTCAGGTATTGCTATTGTCTGTTCAAAAGCATCCTGTTTTTAACTGCCTTTATGATAAGGAACCTACCTTGCTAGGATAGCAGTGAAGTGACGAAACATCTTGTGGTTCTCTGATGGTAATGGGTTGGTGCTGTGGAAATAAAATGTTTGGATTACTGTGGTGGTTGGGCAGTGGTGGTACTATTTCAGATTTGCAGACATCATTTCTAGAGGTTATTAGAATATACGAGGGTCGTTAGATCATACAGTGCAGTATTTTATTACAAAGTAAGTCATGAACTGCTGCCGTTTATAAGAATTTAATGAATACTTTATAATAGTGTTCAACTTGCAATATATGAGATTGTGCCTGACATTTCAGTTTTATATAGAATCTGATTCGAAGCTACGGAAGTCATTAGTAGTTGCTCCAGTAGCTTGCGTTCTGCAGCTTGTCCTATATTCCTCAAGTAAAAAATTCCTCAGCCTTTAGAACAAGGTTTTGCTAGCTTTGTTCATACTCATCAGTAATTTACAGCTGAAAAAAGCCTACACACACAGACTAAGGTGCTGTCCACTGAGAGCGAGAGTGGAAGAACCTGGCCTTTTGCATAATGACATTTGTCCTATTTTGTGCATTCAAAAGTCAGGAAATACTATTTTATGTACTGTATGTAGTAACTTATAATAGGAGTAGAAAAGGTTTTATAGATTTTTTTATTTAAGATGTGATTTCTCTTTTTCAGAAACATGTGTTTTTGCATTTCTTGGCCTGTCAATTTTTAGTTTTCCTCACAAGTTTGAAATGTCCTTTGTCATCTGGTGCATAGTAGGTATTTACTTTCTTCCATACTTGTTTAGATGCGTTTTTGGTATTGGGGAGGGGGGAAAAACCTTACAGTTAAAATATTTTAGAATAGTTGTTATGTTTTATAGGTTTTTATGAAAATATTTTTATATATTGCACGAAGTTAACTCTCACTAATAGCATGAAATTACTATTCTTTTTCTCAGCACTTTGGTGTACAAGTACATCAGTCTTTAAGGAATTCTAGTTTGCTGTTACTTTGAAGCCCTTCTGTATAAGATTAGTAAAAACAAGAAAAAGAATCTTGCTTGTTTTAGATTTATAATAAAATAAAAGAAATCTCAAAAGACTTTGAGATTATTATACATGCCACTTTATTCCAGAAGATATTTTACTAGAAAACAATCCTGAGTTTTTACATATCTTTAGCTTCATATGAATGATTTGTGTGAATGGGCAGATCGTAGAAACTACAGTGCAAACTAGTATCAAACTCTGCTCCAGTTCATCTTCCCGGGACTACAGCTTTCAAGTCGTTCTCTCCTGTATATCGTAGCAGTTTGTTTACATAAACCAATTTAGTCCATACGTCACTTCTTCACTCTGAGCTCACCTTCTTCAGAGGAAAACCTTACTCAAACCTTCTCCAATGTGTATTCATTCTTTGACCCATTCTTAATTCTTTTACTTTCATTCTCTATTTCAGTGTAGCTTTATGTAGTGGAACTTTGAATTATGTTTCACATGGGGTTACCTACATGTATTGCTATTATAATTGTTTAATATAGGCATGAAAAAGACATGTTCTATATCTAGACATATAGACACGTTCTCTTTTGCAGAGTCAAAAGAGGGAAATGTGAATCTGTTTCCAGTCGCATACAGCAACGTATACTAGCACATCTTAGTCCATGGTTCAAGGGAAGAATTGTTATCTACAATTTACAGACAGCGATATCAGCATAGGGAACTGCTCTCATTGCATTACACCCAACTTCCTTATCCAATATATATCTAAGGTGTGACACTTCCTTCTACATAGCATTGCCCTCACAGGCGTAATGCAAATTGTGTAATTTTGGGGTGATTCATAAAGGAAAGCAGCACAGCCCTTCAAGGATCCTGCTGACTAATTCTAGGATATTTACCTTATCAGGTTCTGATTGTGGAGGAGCTTAAAAGCAATGCCATTCTGAAAACCTTTGCATTTCTGAGTTAAAGTTTTCACTGTATTTGTTCATTATCTGCCATTAAATTAATAGTACTTCCCCCCCACCCCAAAATGTTGCTTCAGTGTGTGGTATATTTTATGCCCATACCCAGGGAGGTGTTGAGGAACCGGATTACATGCTATTTGTTTGGCTTCTGGCCTTTTTCTCTGAGGAACTGGTCCGTGGGGAGACAACAGAAATGTCTTATTGCCTCTTAGCTGCTGCACCAAGGGAATGATTAAAGGAGCTGAACCGAGGAGAACTTTTACCCCAAGTAATTCTTGGTCTCCCTGGAATGCCTCTTGGGTTTCATTTATTTATTATAAGTAAAGTAGTGTCTGGTCTCTGTCAGTGACAAGTCTGGTTTAGTTTCAGTTAAGCAGTCAAAATGTTTAAAAAGTTAAATTCCACATTGACCTATGCTGAGAGATTTCTTTATGTTAGTTTAGCAGCACACCTACTTGCAAGACTTGTGAGTGAAAAGAGAGTATTCACCTTGCAACTGGGGCCTGCATGAATGTAACACATCAAATGGTCTTTTGCTTTTATTTCTGTTTTTCAGGTACTTGTTCTGTTTGGTAGAGCAGTGAATATTTTCCCACTTTCCTACCTACTCAACTTTTTCCGTGATCATAAAATCACCCCCAAAATGATGTTTATCATGTGGTTTAGTGGTAAGTTAAAGCTCAAGGTACGAAGAACTGGAAAAATATTTTATCTTTTTCATTGTGTGGGCTTCTCTGGGAAGAACTGTTTTTCCATGATGGAGCAAAACTCAGCTGAACATCTGCACTGTTCTCAAACCCAAGTGCAATAGATGTGTTCTCTTCCCCCTTTGTGCTAGAGGACTATGCAGTGGTGATCCCCACTAAAGCTTTTCTGCAAAGAGTCTACTTTTCTTTCTAGGTCTATCTAGCAACCTCACAGTTTGAACAACAGTATCTGAAGAGCTCAGATTCATTTTTGGGTGGTAATCAAATGATAGATAAATGGACATGGTATAAGATTGTAAAAATATTTTAAAGATGAAGAATTCCTGTTACCAGGCTGCTGAGGACCGATGCAGCTGTTGATTCACTTGTCATTGATTCACTGTTCTCTCTGATAAGGTTTACGTGGCGCAATTCCCTATGCCCTCAGCCTCCATTTGGGCTTGGAACCAATAGAGAAGCGGCAGCTCATTGGGACAACAACAATCATCATAGTATTGTTCACGATTTTGCTGCTGGGAGGAGGAACCATGCCCCTCATCAGACTGATTGACATTGAGGACTCCAAAGCACGCAAGAGGAACAAGAAGGACATTAATCTTAGCAAGACAGAGAAGATGGTTTGTTTTCATTTTTTATTCAGAGGATCACTGATTTTTTTCTTTTTTTAATTTTCACATTTTCCAAGACTAGTATATTATTTTTTACTAAAAAGTAAAATGAAAGCTAGGGGAAAAGCCAAGTTGGTAGGAAAAAGCCAAGCAATATAATTTTAAAATATCCCAAAGACAGAGGTCGGTTAGTGTTTACACAAAATAACTGTTTGGACAAAGGGAGGAGAAATAGTCTCTTAACTCAATCTAATTATAAATTGATCCATACAAATTAAAGTAACCCCTGCAAAAGCATAAAGCAGATGATACAGGATTGAGTCATATACAGAGGGAAAGTAGCTAGTACAGTGTGAGTCATGAATTAATCATAAAAGGCAGATGGGAATTATTTTGAAAAAGTCAAAGAAAAGGCCATGAGAAGGTGATAACAACAGCACCCTTCTGACTGGGTTTTATTTTAAAGCAATTTCCGGCTAAGCAAGAGTACTGAAGAAAACTAACAGCCAGTCTGAAACCTCAAGTGCAAAAGGCTGGAGTACATCAGGTATCCAGAGCATTTGCGTGTTTTTCCCCAAACCATCGAACAAGACATGCAGGGTGTCGCTCTGTAGGATTTGAAGAACAGCTCCACTTGGTGTCAGGTCTTCAGAATTACCTTACTCTGTCCACACAGGGAGTTGTGTACGGGGAGAGCACAGGGACAGGGTGTGTTCTGATACAGGGCTTGTTTTCCGTGAGTCAGTGACCTTACTGTTGCTTGCTGGATAAAATCATTGTCCAGCTCACAAGAGAAAACCTGCAAACTAGAAATCTGTTCTCAGCAATAGTAACAATACAAAATATGGAACGTTTGAGGTCATTTACCTTTCAGCATGAAAAGGGAAGCTAAGTGGCTCTGGGAATCAACAGCTGGACAGATTCATACAGCCATAAGCCCTGGTAGGCTGGGGTGATAATTTCCATGTTGTTCCAATATGGGAATTGGTTGTGAGAAGGGAGAGCACAGGGCAGGGGGCTGAAGCAAGCTGGAGGGATGACTGCCACATTTCTCAGGTGATTCCAGTATTTGTGACCTTTCTAGGGAAATACCATAGAATCCGAACATTTATCAGAGCTTACAGAGGAGGAATATGAAGCCCAGTACATAAAACGCCAGGACCTCAAAGGGTTTATGTGGTTTGATGCCAAGTATTTGAATCCTTTCTTCACCAGAAGACTCACACAAGAAGTAAGTCTTTCTTGTTTTCTTGAAGAAAAGAAACTGTGGTAGAGTTGGTTGTCATTTCACTCTGTACCATTCAAGGCTCATAGTGTAGCCATGCAACTTCTACATTAGGAAGAGTGAGCCATCTAATATATTACTTGTGCATATGGAGAGCAGCTGTAATGAAAAGCTGCACTGTAAAATTGCAGGTTGGATTAAATGAGCATCTCTCGGGGCTACCACAATTAAATTTTAAAAGGTGTTTGGATTTATTGAACTTGCCTTTAATCTTGCAGAGTACCATGAAGAGTATCAGAAGTTACTAGTTACTACTGTTGCTAGAAAAAGTTGCTGCCACTCATGCAGAGTTTTTAAAGTGCTATCACACAAAGTGGCTGCCTTTTACTGTACACGGTCCTGTGAATTCTGGAGTTGTGATTTTTCTGCAGAGTACAGTTTTTGTCTTGGAAATATGCACCAGAATTGCAGCTTTCACTTTTAAGACTTCTTCACTGGGAGACCAAGACTTTGAAGCTGTAAATGCAAAATGACACCTGACTGAACATGTAACTTAACACCAGGTGGCTCCAAGAGGTGTAAATACTATGCCATTTTCATTCCACACCTCAGAAACCTGAGACTTCTTGGCGGTATAATTCACTGTTTTTCCAATTTGCCATAGAATTAAGCATGCTGTGGAGTTGATCATTTTTTGTAAAGTGTGCACATTCCATCTTCCTAGGCTGCACAAATGTACAAATTTTCCTCTTGTTTTTTGACACCTTTCTTTTCAAAAGAATGCTTTCAGCTCTTTCCCGCAAAAGCTAAAGGCATTTTTTTGCAAAACCAAAAAGGAATCAAGAAGCCAGAGTAAGTATCTGATTCGTAGTTCGTAGGCAAAAGGACAGGCTGCCATCCAGATTGCAACCAAAGGCTAGAAAAATAAGTACGTGAATCACCAAAGCAAGCCACAAGCTTCCCACTGTCCCTGGGAACACATAGAGAGGAGTGAGATTCAAAGCCAGGCCATCCAGACAGCATTAGGATTGTTGAAACCCACAGAGCAGGACTGTCTGGAAAACACAGGTAAAAAATACCTGTCATCAGAAATACCATCCGTGGAAAGAATTAGTGATTGAACAGTTGATAAATATGTTCTCGTAGGAAACAGAATTGCTTTGCATGCTTAGAGACCAGAAGTGGATTATTTTCTAAGGAATATGTTAAATTAGTCTTTCTCTTTTGCTCTAGCACACAAGTAGTGTTGTAGCTAAGAAACTGTTCCGGTTTGCTTTTGCCTTAGGACTTGCATCACGGGCGCATACAGATGAAAACCCTCACAAACAAATGGTATGAAGAGGTCCGACAAGGACCCTCAGGATCTGAAGATGATGAGCAAGAGCTGCTATAGCAGGAGTGCAATGAATTTATCTTTAGAGCATTAGAAAGAGGATTTAAGTATCAAGAGTCTGACAGCACAGAAGCTGGAAAGCCAAGAACGAACTTTCTGATTTCGGGCATGTCTTGTGCTACATGTTTAGGTCTAACACCGCAGATCTACTGTGCTCCATATTACTAGTCAGTGGTGGAAACCCTTAAGTGTCAGACACTGGAGTGAATGTAGAACCTTCCGTTCAGATTTTACAGCATAGCAAATTTCATGCAGCCTATTGAAAAGCAGAAACACCTGCCAT